GTTCCCTCCTTTGTGACTTATGCCAACCTAACACCGCCTCCGCATGCGATCACAACCCTACGCCCTCAGGCGGAGCGAGCAGTGGAACGATGAGAATAAGAACCGTTGGGCTTGGCAGGACTTCACAGTACACAACAAACTTTCTCATTTCCTTCCTGGCCGTCCTATCAAGCGGCTTGAAAGTAGCACTGCATTCGGGTAAGACATCTTGTAGCGCGTGATACCGCATGCCTACAATACCGTGCGGGGCGGTCACAGTCGCTCAAACCTGGAACTGCCCAGTAAACTCACTTGAGCGTATCCAATCCGACTCTTTGTAGGGGCTCGTGGTGTGGTGATGCATCCCGCAATGAGGATTCCACATGTTGGGTCGCCGTACGATTACGATGGGGTTGACTTTGCTCGGGGACTTGATGAGGTTTGTGAACAATGAAACCCGTGCGGTAATGTGGTTAGGTGGGGACGATTGAAAAGAGCTGATTTCAAGACGGAGAACAGTTGTTTCATGTCAGTCTTTGGCGATCGTCTCCCAACACGCCTGCTTGAGCATTTTACCCTTTATGTAGTGCTGCAAGACGACATGGCGAGTCTCAGTTTAACATTTCCACGTAAAGTATCCTCCGGCAAGCGCAAGGCTGGGTCGATCGCAGTCTGTTCATGACGTTCAGAATGGGATTGCAGCCATGATCCCTACATCTGCCCGGGACCAACCAATTTCTTCAGGTTTTCATGCGTTTTCGCCCCGCATACGGACGGCAGCACGGTCAAGTGGTGGCCAGTCAGCAACTGTAATGCGTCGGTTTTTTCGCAGTCGGGCTTCGTCACGGTAGTCACGGGCTACAGTCGAAGGCTACAATGCGCCAGGGGCCAATCGTAACCAGCAGCAGCAATGTGGACACGTGGACATGTGTGCCATCAACCGACTTCAAGTTCACTGGCTCATGGTTTGACATCATGGCTTGAGGCACTGGAGGCTCCATGTCTTTGCTTGACTTAGGGCCTACAGGTGCTCCAGACAGCAGGAACATCATGTGTCTGCTAAGCCTCATCAGCTGTTCCCTCAGAAAGGCACTTGCTACCCTGGCAACGGCACTGCAACTAGGGTCCTGACTCCTGTATCATGGGTACCAGTGAATTTGCTCGTATGGTAGACCACCAGTGCTTCGCCTTTGAAGTTTTCCGTCTCCAGGATGCCCTCACGCGAAATGAACAACAGAGCAGGACTCATCAGAAGGCGCATCCAATTGCAAGCTTTGCCACTGCCACTGGTGCCGATCTTGAGCGTATGAGTATTGGCAAAGCCTTGTCCATGTACAACTCGATCTTTCTGATCTTGCCATACCTTCGCGAAGAGCACAAGGAGAGCACGAACACGGACATCAACGAGAGTACCTTTCGGCAGCTCGGCCCCGCTCTGTCCGAAAAGCTGCCCCAGAGCAAAGTGCAAAGCCTCATCACCTTTCAAGCCCGAAGCAGGCAGCCAGCTATCAATTTTCTCACTTTCTTTCAGTTCTTTCAAGGCATATCTTTACTCAGGAACCGGCCACCTTGAAAATTCTTCGGCAAATCGCTAACAAAGACTGCGGACGAGGAGGTGTCTCCTTCAGGTGCCGACTTTGCATTGGAGCAAAATAGCACTGCAAGATTGCTGCAGGTGGGCCAGGCGAGTCTGCAAAGCCACTTTCTGCAATGCGATGTGCCAGCAACTACAAACTCGCCAAGCTTCTTGATTATGCTTGTCATACAAGCCATAACATGTCGCGTTCATAGCCGAGTGCATCATGTTCCGGCACTCTTCCATACTGTAGTTGTTGAAAAGATGCTTGATGCTTACAGGCTCGTTCAGTGTGGCACTTGACCTTTCTGAGCTCAAATCATCCTCGCTGTCGTCGTCATCACGTTCATCGTCGTCGTCATTCTCGATGTCACCGTCATCATCACTCCTCATCATCACTACCACTATCGTCATCATCAACGACATCGTTCCCACAATAATCATCACCATCATCACCATCATCTCTTCATCATCGACATAGAACCATAGAGCTTGACCGACCTGGACCTCGACGCAAGCACAACCCTAGCTACGAAGGAAGGCCCACTCTCATCATGAGACATCAATGCCAGATTGGAAGCATGCTCAGGAGTTCTTGCACCAGCTTGAAATTGTCAACGGAAGCTCCGTTCAGCAACCTTGCCTATCGGTCGCCCGATGGAGCTGGCATCAACAAGTATGCCGCCACCTAGGACACATCAAGCGAGAGAGAGAGAGAGAGATGCTTTTGGACGAAACGATGATCAAGAGAGCGGCCTGGGTTGGAAGGATCGACCAGGGCCATGGCATTGGAGCTACGCTTCTGCTTACGTCCCCGGTGAAAATTAGAAATTTCAGCAAGGCTGCAAAACAACACTAGTATACAAGAAAGAGGCATAGTGAAGCCGCTGCTAGGCTGCATCAAGGCAAGCGCCAGTGCACGGCTTGCTGGTGCGTGTTCAGGATGGTGCTGTGTTAAGCTGTTGCGTGTCACCACCGCAAATGCTGAATGGCCAGTGGGAACATACTGGGAACATGTACGGAAAGGTCATTGACAAGCTATGTGCCCCTGAATGAACACTACCCTTCCTTTGAAACCACAAAACTCAACACTGGACTTGTGCATCCATCATAGGTGGCATCTCGTGTGTCCGGAAAGATGTAGCTCCATGGTGCGCTGACTCAGTATCCTGAACCTAACCCCAATCGCGCATTCGGGGATGTTGGCTAAATTTGCGGAGCCCGGCTACCCTGACCTGACTCGATTCCTGTGGTAGGGCTGCACCTCACGTCATGCAAGTTTGGCAAGGAGTCGCTCAAGCAAGGCTGTCTCCTCAGTCTGAAACACCAGCACCAAAGGCACCGGGCTTCAAAAGACTGTACACTTGGAACCTGAACTGCATCACAGCTTACAGCAGCTCTTGAGTGCCCTTTGAAACGGAGCAGGCGAGGATGGCAGTTTCCGATGAGCGCACGATGACAATATCAAGTCTGATCTCGACTCGCTTCATTTGCGGCGGGTGTCTACCAACACCTCACGAAGCGGGGGGGTGGAATGCAAACACAAGGTCCTAATCGGCATCTCATTTACGTACGAAGTGCAGCAGGCGCACCATGTACTTGCTCTTCTCAAGCTGTGAGATGTGCGAGATGCTGAAACTTTGAGGATTGAACTGCACGACCTGCGGGCCATTGCACAACTCTTGCAAAATGTCCTCACATGGCCCCAATGGCTACCCCTAGCACGCTGTTCACTTCGGTGCATGCGATCACAAACACAGCGGCCATGCAGAGTCCAAGGTTGCATTGCTTTGAGCACCGTTCGTTCTTTCCTGTCGCGACTTCCAGGCCCGCAGGGCCCGCAGGAGTTCCAGAATAGGTTTGTTTACTGTGCATTCTGAAATCATGGCAATATGTTTTGGCATGTTGTTCTTCAGATTTACGAGACGTAGAAGGCTCATCATGCAAAAGCAAAAATTGAGCGAGTTGCAACACGGCCAAATCTGGATGCAACAGCCGTCAGCTGCCAGGAATGTGAGGTATAGACATGACTTGCATTGCCGTCCACCCACGTTTATCTGGCTTGTATTTGACACCCACATGACCAGGAAGAAAACTTCTGAAAATAGCACGGTGCGTTGCGATCCTGCAATTTCACAAGGACTCACAAGGCAACGCGAACCACCGAACGAATGTTAAATGAGCCTCGTTGAGCCTGGTCTTTGAAGCACAAGGGCAATTGCAAAAATGACTGCAAAAATCTTCTGCAAGACTTTGCTGGGGCGTTTGTTGTTTTGTTTTTGCCAATCATGCCGAAGCCTCTCGCGTGTCCCCACCGCGCAGAAACCCTTTTGCTGGGGGGTTCGGACAAATTTGCTGTACGTAGGTTTCTTTTGTGCCACCGTTCATTAGTCATGAATGCCTTGTTCTTGACTCCTTCTTGTTTCCAGGGTTGTGCCCCTATTTCCGGCAAGAGCCGGATCTGGGGCCACCCTTATAGGGTTTAGGAGGATCCTCTTCAGGAATATCTTTCAGAGGGCACCATCATCTGTTGGGGCCGTTGTTGTGTCGGTATCTCTCTTGGCAAACGGCTGGTGGGACGCGCTCCTAATCTTACGTCCCTTCTTTTTTCTCATGGGATTGTGGGACATGTGCACGTTCGTTCCTCTTGTGTCCGTCGTTGTCTCCGAAAGTCGAGGTTCGATACTATCTGTTCGCCGACTGGTCTGGCTGGGTCGAGGCCGTTTTTCTTGAAAGACAGAGCGTCAACCAACAAGCTCCACTCGGAGTGATGACTTGTTGGGGGGGGGGGGGGGGGCAATCCGACGAACTGTAAGAAGTTTAGGCCATCGTGGTAGCATTGCACGGGAGATGGTGTTTGCCTCAGGCATGCTACGACATGCTTTTCACACAGCGGGAGCCAAGCTGTCTGTTGGACCTATAACCTCCCCCTCCAGCGACCAACTTTACATACCATCAATTCAGTGGAGGGACCCATAGGGGTCCAAACTAAACATTCCCATAATGAGCGAAATATACCTGGGCAAGACACACACACACATTTTGCACAATCCTTGGCAAACTGTCATCTCTGCGCGTTTTCCGATCTTCTGGTGCCTTGATGCCGAGGCTACACGATGTCGCACCCGCCTGATTTGTCAGCACCTGAGCAATCCCATGCTTTGCTTTCGCCTTTACTTGCACTGCGTGGGCGGGCAATGCATGCTCCTACGGACTCCTATGAGATTAGCCCCGGGTCGCATGGGACAAGCACCGAGCAGCTTGCAAGTAAATATTGGTGCAGCAGGTCGGCTAACATGGCTTCAAATATTAGCCTGCTTGTCATCGCACACCAATGAAAGACTTTCTGTCAAGACCCGTGATGCATGCGCACAGAGCTCAACTTGCTCTAGCACTCGAGTCGCTCTGGAGCAGGATTGCACAACATCTAGAAAGTGCGAGCAAAATCCGCGGACAAACAGAAACTGAAACATCTGAAACAGACGTGCTTGACTACAGCCCGAATCATCTTTAGCCGGCACAACGGTGAACTGCTGGTATGGCCCCGCAGGATCCTGCCATTCCAAGCTGCTGAACATGTGGCAGCTGTATTCAATGGCAATTTTCGGAAACCAGCCAGGAACACCATGTTTGCGGGTGGACTCGCAGGCGTACCCCAAATGGTCCCTGTCGAAGGGTCCTGACTGAATTGACGGAACAGTGTGAACACAAAGCGCCACCAATGATCCCAGTCAAGATCACTCACTGAAAAATTGGCTCTCAGCTAGAGACCGCGATTGCTCAAGCTAAGCTGGAAGCCAGTTGCAAGCCGAGCGGTAATTCAGCCTCAATGCGATGTAACAATGCTGGAAGGCACTTGTACCATGCTCATCCAGTTATGATGATCTAGCACGGCTGCCCCAACCTGATCCTTGCTTCCCCTCTTGTTTTGTTGTTTCGTTGCTTTGTTTGTTGTCGGCTTTTGTGTGTGCGCGCACCTGCTTGTCAGCTGATAGTGTTTTAGTGCGCGTGCGTGTGTGTGTGTGGGCAACCCGAGTATCAAAGGGTAGGTGTGAGCAATAGGAAAGAGCCAATACGAGCAGCAGGGGAGTGTGGCTCTTGCATCCTACCACACTCAACGAAGCTGTGGATGCAAGAGGGAAGCGAAGACTGATCATCTTCGTGTACCTGCTTCAAGTGGACTGGACCCGATCCACTAATCATGCCTGTGACATCATCTACCCTCAACCACAAATCGTGCTCAGTCCTGAACCATTTAATGTGCCTTGGGTTTTCGGGATCAAAGTGCCTTGGCTTTCTCGCATCTTGGATCGCAATACCTAATAGATAACATGAGCGTAAAGCCTCAATGAACATTTTGATCTTTTGATCTCCTTGACAGAGTACGTGAGAGAAGCACAACCCTTCCGACATTGTTCGGTATCAAGTGTGAATTGGGCATGGCCTTCCCTCTTGGGCGCCATCACCGCGGGACGTAAGAGCCCGTATCTCTTGACTTGTCCTTCGGGACATTGCCCTGAGAGGCTTGAAGAGAGCCCCGGACGAAACAAGCCTACACTTCTGGCAATTTTCCTATTTGTTAGTAAACTCTGCAACGTAGGCGTCGCACACAAACCAAATCGCAACATTGATATGCAGTGAGAGTGATCTTGACTCATCATGAATCTCGACTTCTCGTGAATCCTGAGCCTTGGTCATCCAGACACGCAGCTTCGCCTGAAGATTAGCGGTTTTGAATCAGCAAACAGGCGAACATTCTCGAATAGGAAGTTCTTCTTCTTGTCTTGCATGGTAGAATTGCCGCAACCAACGTCGCAGCTCGCTAACGTTCAAGCGTGATCTTTCATGTGAGCAACAATAAGATTTTATCAAGTTACCTAGAATCAAGCATTTCTTTTTGTTTATACTTGAATCACATACCGAAGCTCGGTGCTCAATTCAACTACCTGGACTACGACAAAACGCTGCTCGGGACTCATTGGCTATCAACCTGGTAATTTCAAAGGGTAGGTGTGAGCAATAGGAAAGGGCCAATACGAGCAGCAGGGGAGTGTGGCTCTTGCATCCTACCACACTCAACGAAGCTGTAGATGCAAGAGGGAAGCGAAGACTGATCATCTTCGTGTACCTGCTTTAAGTGGACTGGACCCGATCCACTTATCATGCCTGTGACATCATCTACCCTCAACCACAAATCGTGCTCAGTCTTGAACCATGCAATGTGCCTTGGATTTTCGGGATCAAAGTGCCTTGGCTTTCTCGCATCTTGGATCGCAATACCTAATAGATAACATGAGCCTATTGAAAGCCTCAATGAACATTTTGATCTTTTGATCTCCTTGACGGAGTACGTGAGAGAAGCACAACCCTTCCGACATTGTTCGGTATCAAGTGTGTGTGTGTGTGTGTGACACATGGCTGGGTCGGCAACTTCCAACGCAACGTACCTGCAGCAGCTGCTCCTGGGCCCTTGCGGGACACATTTGGTTAAGCTACTCCCCGTGCCTGGCGTGGAGTTTGAATCACTGTCATCTTGCTGTGAGCGCGTGCCAGTCCTGGCGCCCTCCGCAAGCCATTTGATGAGAATTTTCAATGCAATAGTGATTCTCCATGCAGTGCACATTTTTAGCATGTACTCATGTAGCACCTCATACACATACCGCCTTACCTCCAGAGCATATGCAAGTTCGTTGCGTTTCCATTCTAAGCAATAGAGGTGTGAATGCGACCAGCTTGCCTTTGCCTTGGGGCGTGGGTGTAAGGGCTACGATCCAGATTGTCCGGCGTTTTACACAAACCACTGGATACCGTCTGATCAGCAGCCCCCCACGAGTTCAAGTTGCTCGGCCATCTGCCATGCATGGTACGTTTTTTTTCGTGCTGTGAGGCCTTGGCACGCGGCCGCCCTCACCCCGGGTTCAATGTAGCGTGGTCGGGGGTTTCGTGTGATTCTTTCTTTGCTTTTCTTTTGGCATGCATCTTGGCTATGCTCAAGGGCCTGCTGGCTTACTCATGTACACCAGCAGCAGCAGCAGCAGCAGCAGCAGCAGCGGCAGCGGCAGCGGCAGCAGCAGCGACAGCGGCAGACAGCGGCAGCGGCAGCAGCAGCAGCAGCGGCAGCAGCGGCGCTGGCCCACCGAAAACACAGCCGCAACCGCAAATTTCGGCAAGTAGCTGCGGACAAATTGAGACCAACAGGGCGAATACTATGATAGCCACGATATCGGTTGCCGGGGTGTCAAGGTATAGTGGACTTGTTGAAGAATAATTACACCTACATGCAGCATCATGCAGCACCAGACCAAACTCAATTTCCATTCATTGCACCGCAGATGAAGGAAGCTTCAAGCACCTGTTCCAGCTGGGCAAAGTCAGCTACACAGCTTCGTTTCAATATGGGTCAATCTCGAAATGAATCGTCCAACGCGAGTACCGCTTCGACCAAACACGCCAACTCCTTCCAAGCAAACACCCCCGTGAAGAAGAAACAACAAATGCACGCCCCCTCCCCGCCCAAGCCAGTAGTGACGCCCCCCATGCTATACCCAGAATACAAACAACACTTCCGCCAACTCATCCATGACCGAACCCAGTTGGTTCGTGACCACCCCACTTATCATCCACCAGAGCAGTGTTCACAAAACACACTCCCCTTCAAGCAATCTTACACAATTGGCGGAAAGCCCATACAGAATGCGACCACCACGCACCCCCAACATGCTTGGCAAGATCCAAGCCCAACACCCAACACACCTACACCATCCTTGCGACACATCAACCCTGTGCTGAGTATAAGCTTCTTGCTGGAGGCTCTAAAGCAAAGCAAACGCAGACCTTGAGAAGCTTTGGAAGCCTGACACCGAAACCTGCACTTCAGAGTCACGCTCAACTCCACCAATCCTACATATTAGAAATGTTGACCACTGGAGCGCACTAGTCACTAGCGGGCATCTTGTGCCTTGCAGATGTGCCAGTACCCGGTCATTTTGCTAGATCTGCCAAGCCTGTGCAGTAACCACCTTTCGTAATCGCACAATAAGAGTTTCCACAGCGCGGTACACATCCTACGTACAACGGCCTTGAGCGGATTTTATAAGATTTCATGTTACCAACCGTGATGGTGTCCACCATGAAGCGTCTATTCCCGAAACCGTCCCTCCGTCGCGTTGAATGAAGGCGCCGAGTACGGAGGGTTTCTTTTGTCGCCAGCAGGGATGACATCAGAGGGAGTCGCAGCCAGACATGATTACTGCCACATTGTGGAATGATGCTCGGAATAAGGATTGTAGATCGGCCATCTGCTGGTCATGCGCAGCGGCCTACGAACTGGCCGTTGTCGTCTGATAGGTCGACTGAGCCATGTTGGACTCGATAATTCGGTTGATGTGTTTTTCTTCGGTTACCGATGGATCAGAGGATTGCATGTCATCATCTGGCATTGCTCCGTGTGTTTCGCTGGACGTGTCTTGCTGGGCTTGATTGATTGTCTTGATATCCTTCCCGTGCCAGTGTACGGACTCCATTTCTGCACACCCTGAGACTGCAGTCTGTGGCTTGTAGTTTCTCGAATCTGGACCGCTGGCTGTTCAGTGTCAGAGTCCAGAACGTGGCTCGGTTCTCAAGCTCTTCTTCTGAAAACCCAGTGGCTTTGGTTGGTCAATGAAACCATCTCAAGATTGCACATGTTCACCGACACTCCTTCAATTGGGCAAGGCCTCCAGATAAGCTGTTCTGAGAGCTTGACTGGCTCGCAGTGAAATCGACCTTGCACCAAATGAAGTAAACCCCTTGACTTGCTGTACGATCTGCCAGCCTGCAGCAGTTGCTTGTCCCAGAACTGGCCGCACCTGAAGCATTAGCAGTGATGTCACTGTGGACACCTGAAAGCATCATGTTGACTCGTGTTGTCATGTCTGACAACCAGATACCATCTCACCGATCGCAAAAAGCATCACACAGACTGTGCACAAAATGCTAGGTTTGGCCTCTCGATACTGGCCAGCAACCAATACGATGTTGTCGCCCGGATATTTAAACCTTGCCGACTGCGAGTCAATTCCAAGATGCTGTAATGGACGGGGTGCTCAGAAATCGAGTGAGTCGGGTCCACGACCCTGTGTTCATGACCAGATTGCTGAGAGAAGGGTCGTTGCGATCGACGTCGGTTCCCGGAACGCGCCCGTAGAATGCCTCAGCTACCGAGTTCTCAATGGATAAAGGCCTTGATAAGGCTGTGTAACTCTAGCACCAAACACCCAAACGTGACTGCTGTGTTCGCCCGGGCCCTGTACCCCGTCACCAAAACAAGGTCTTCCGCATCGCACTGACCATGCTCAGAACTTGGTGCCATGTTTGCAGGTAAGCTGTGATTGCTGGCTTGGCCCCACACTGGTTGCGAAAAGCCGACAGACATCGACCTGGGTAGCGCACTCACCGCAGGAAGCTGTGGTGGGCTTTCTGCCACTTTCTGCACCTCACAAGCAGAGTGCCAAACCGCGGGTCGATTTGACCGTTGATTTGACCGTTGGAGAACTGTGTACCTCCTGCATCGCAACAGATCACGGCATAAGAAACCACGCCGCTGCCCCGGCTGCCTGAATTGCCCATGACAGGCACTTGCACCATTTGCAGCATGTATGGAGCTGGCCTTGCAGCCGGGGCAAATCCGCAACTCCGTCTGGTGAAATATGTTCTGCACTACTCTGCTCTTCTTTCAATTGCGATGCGCTTCTCTCGCACATGGCGAACGATCACACATACGGCGATTCCTTGATTATGTCAGCTTGTGAGTAAACTGCATGCATCTCCCATCATCTCCCCTTCGTTCTCTTCTGAAGACCGGATCTTGATTGTTCCTTGCTTTGTTTGTTCTGCAAGGTTTTGATGGCTTTGTTTGCACTGTATAAGCGAAACCGAATTGTTTCGCTACAAAATGCAAGCGGAAGGGTTGTAACGAAAAAGACGCGTCTGCCTTTCGATGCAAACCTCTTGATGGTCTCATGCTCCCTGAAGCAAACTTGCAAGGCTTGAAAAAACGCGCAGGAGGCCCAATCCCTCCACCCATTTTGTTGCGGACTAACTTCGACACGCGGACGGGGACGGGTGGCTGCGCCCCACCTCCCATTTGCAAGCACAAAGCTCGTTATGACAAGGTTTCGAAAGGATGCGAATGACTTTTTGCATAAAGCTGGCATAAACCTTATGTATGAAAAGTTGATTAGAGCTGCCATTCTCAATAATGATGGCGTTGATTTTGCTTGTCTTGTGTTGGGATTGCCAGTGATTTAATAGATGGCACTTGTTGTTGGCATTGACACCTTCAACTGTTCTGTGGGTTTTTTGTATTTTCACTTTATTGTGCGAAAAAGTCCGCATGGCTTCAACAAAACTGGGAGTTAAGAATTGTGGCGCAGCCTGGTACATCTCTCGTTCTGGCCTGTCCTACATGCATTGGTTTCTTTTTGTCGTTCGTTCGTTCTCTCTTCTGCATGTTTAACTTTATCTCTCTTTCTTCTTTCTATACTGCTCTCATTCTGTCTTGCACTGCTTTCGTTCTCTCCTCACAGCCTTTTTAACATGCACGCACGGCACCTCATTTGACTTGGCCTAGACATGCCTTTCTGCAGTACGCCAGTGCAAATTGGCCCACCATGAAACCGTGTTTCTGGAGCAAACGCTTGTTGGCTGATCTATGCACGAACAAGCCGAAATTGGTCACTGTGCAGGACGATACCTATTCCCCCACCACGTTTTGCAGATGTATATAGATGTACATGGATGATATCCTTCCCGAACCCTTCAACTGCGACTTTCGCAGCTGGGAACACTAGAATATGTAAGATTATATGAGGTTGATCTTTGTAACCCCTAGAAAACTAGAAGGAACCTTGTCAGCGAGAACTGCTGCCAGAGCTTCCACTGAAACTCTTGGAAAGAAGTGAGCCACAATCATAAAACAGAAAGCTAACACAAACTATAGTTTGCCTTGATTCACCTTAAGTCCTTCTCGGACCACCGAGACTGCAAGGATCCCCTCTGGCAGAGGACGTCATCAGGGAAGAATGTGGCAGGATGTTGGCACCCCCGAAGAAATAGAGGAATAAAGACGGCGCATGAAACAAAGCCACCGGCAAACGCTGAGTTCCGTTCGCTCCCCAATTCGCCTCTGCGGGTTGCGAGTACCTCAAGACATCTCCAATCATCGTAAGGCTTTCGCAACTCTTTCAAGCCTACATCATCCTACATCTGTCGCACATCACGGGCTTGGTTCTTCTGCAGCTCTGCCCGCGTTTGGGCTGCGATGGCGGACAAGCTTCGATTTCAACCCCCAGCGGTGCCGCCGTGGCCCTCGTTGACAGCTAAGGAGTGTGCAGAATGCTTCTTGCGAGCAATATTCCATGTTCACTTCCTGACATTGTCATGTGAGAAATGCTCGAGCCAAGCACGAAATCGTACGCACATGCAGATATGTGTGGGCTCATTTCCTTGCGCATGTGCATGTTACAAAAAAGAGGGTAGTCGGCCCGGCATTGCAGGCGTGCACCTAAACCCCAACCACAGATCGGCCACACAGACGCATCATGACGCATCTGTTGCACCGCCAGCACTACAAGTACAGCAGCCGCCCTGTACCCACTCGCACACCATCACCACACCTATACGACACTCTGTGTTGTCCCTTCGTTGGGTACGCGAAGAACTGGAGTATAAACTGTGCCCGCAAAACTTGGAATACCAGCTAGTTCAGGTCTAAACCGGATTGCAATCAAAGAATACAGCATGCTTTCATGATAATAACAACAGTGGTATTAACTCTAAGTCAGGAGTGGTGAGGCGTGGATAGACCATGCGCACCGCGCAGGAGCACTAACTAAACTTGCTCTGAACATCCATCTGACCACAGGCACCCACATGAGAATACATTCCGTCGTGGCTCAACCATGCAACACCGTGAACAACTTCGTGGTCATTATGCACACTTCACCAAACGACATCGAACACCACGAAAGGTGCAGCAATGGTGCAGATCGAGTGCCTGCTGGCGCGCAAGGTCATTGTTTGCGTTAGCTGGATCTCCCTGGCTTGGTTTATTGGCAAGCTTCGCCCGCTAAACACATTCAATTGATTTCGGCTTGTCGCGATCTTGGATGCAATTGGATGCACCATGAAGCTGCGCGAAAGGACGCGCTCGAGCAATACCAGACGACGCAAACCTGAAGGAAATTCAGCAGCAAAGCTGCGACTTGCACGCCGTTTGGGTTTTTCGAATCTTTGCGCAAGTTGCACACGGCGAAACATCGTCTGTCGGCACTTTGCTTTCTAGTGTTATCCTAGGGCCCTATATATACAAACCCCAGCACCATCTGCGCTCCGACTCTTCTTGGCATCCGAGTTGCGAGACTCTGCCAGCTGATATGAAGGAGTGCCATGCAGCGGTGGGCCCGTGACAAAAGCTGGATGTGCAACCGATGTCATCCATCACAAGAAGACTTCCGGCTGTGGCCAGCAATGACATGTGGAGTAAGTCTGCGGCCGCATCTGCTTCGGTGTGGCTCCCGTCTATGAAAATCAGGTCACATTTGTGTGCCAAGTTTTGAGATATGAAGTGGGGAACTGAAACGTTTGAAGACCCTTCCAACAGTCTGTGCCTCCGTGAAAATACTGATCGTATCACTCGGTGGCATGAACGAGTGTACGATTTCGATATCAAATCAAACGACACCATTTGTGCTTCTGGCGGTGCACTTGCCAGCATGGCCCATGCGGAATGCCCTCCATTGAAGCCTACCTCACAGATCTGGCGTACAGTCGCAGAACTCGCTTGCTGAGAAAGCCACCAGGCTTGAGTGATGGATGAAGTGCTTTCCATGCGAACAAGACCATCTCTGTCCGCTCTTAGGCTGTTCAGCATGACCCAAGACAGCAGCATATGTCCAAGAGCTACAGCAGCACGATCTCCTCGGGGAAGTAGTCTGTTTACCCACCGCAAGTCCGTGCAAACAGACGACGTTTGATTGGCACGATTGGCACCTGGCTGTGGAAGCGGAATCGCGACCGTCTGTTCCAGCAGACCGATGTCGTTCAGCGCACGCAGAGACGCGAGATTTCGGATCGCTGCCAAGCTCAGACCCTCATTCAACGCAGCGTCTGTTAGCTTGTTTACAAGCTCATGCACTGCCGCCCAAATCCTGTCCATGGCCAGAGACTGCGAAGTCCGTTCCTGCTTAAAAGCCTTCGATAAGTGCTGAAAGACCGACTGTCGCATGGCGGCGAGCTCAAGGGGCAGCACGCCTTGTGGATCTGCCAAGCCGCCCTCGTTCGCTGCGTGCGCTCGTACGCACCAGAGAAGGGAATTGCACAGGTGCACCAAAGGCACCATAGACACCATAGGCACCGTAGAAGCGCGAACAGAGCGACTGCGCATGCTGCACGATGTCAAGATTTCTACGTTTTTGGGGAGAGTCTGAGCAGCCTGTGACCGTGGCACAATGTGACACACAAAAACGAGGAAACGAAGAATACACAAGCTGTCAGAATCTGTCAGAAGCTACTTCAAATGCTACTTTGCATGGACTGTGGCCAGCCTACGCAAGCCATTGCAGATCGGCTGATGGGCTCGGCAAAGGACATAACTATGCACGGCTACACGAAAATCAACTGAACTTTTTGCTGTTGCCTGATGATGAGGTCATCAGGTGCCGCTCAGGTCTTCACTACATTCTAGCACCGAAAGGCTTCATCAGCAACGATTTGTCTGATTAGTAAGCACCTACAGGACCGTCATAAGACTCAGCCCCGAAGGGGTTCACCAACAGCGTGGGCCTTGGCAATGGATCGGTGCAACAATGCGTTGTGAAAGTTGAGTTGCACGGATCGGGATGGACCAGGTAGTTCAGGAAGCTTGGAGGTTTGTAGAATGCCTAGCACGGTAGACAAGCAAACAGTTGCAACATGTTGCAATCCCAAATCACGCCACTGCCAGACCTAGTCTCCTCGACCCCCCAAACGATGCTGCTTTTGAGACGGCTCTGAGCATCAAACTGCTGAACCCGCGGATTGTTCAAGAAGTCCGACACAGAGTCAGGTCCCACCAGGAGGCAACTGACGTCGTCACAATACAAGCCAGCCTGGGCGCAAAACACTGTGCGCAGCTTACAAAATGCGGCGCACGTCTCCGCAAGTCAGATGCATGCGACCTCGTTTCGTTCCCAGCGCGACTGTGCTTCTTGCACAAGCGCTGATGCCAGCGCCTCCTTGCGCGTGCTCCGCAGAATTGCTAACGCCTCTGGGCGAAGACGTACCGCATGTACCGCAAGCTGATATCCGACTGCTGAATCAAAGCTGTGCCTCGATGGGAGCCAAGAACTCAAACAAACCGTCGCTGCCCAGAATGATCAGAGCCTAGCTGGTGTGGCAATTGTGGCAAACATCAGGCTCATCAGGCGCTGGTTCTGCATGCGCTGCTTTTGATGGTAGCGCGGCTCCATGAACCCCTTTCATGATGTCCTAACCCACCTCCCTACATCGTCCTAGGTCAAGCAGGAGCACCAGCAAAAGCACGGGCAAAAGCAGGAACAATGGCCAGGAATGATCGCGTCTTGTATCGCACTTGTGCTGTTTCTGGTGCTACTTTTTCTGCTCATAATGACTCTTTGTTTCTGGGCCTTCCCTCGCCCCTTGAACTGACCCCAAACCCCAAATTAGAATGCCGATAGCGATACTTGACCGCCCGGAATCAAAGTATCACTTCTGCATGCACTAGGGTGATTCTTTGCTTCTGAACCTTCCTTCGCCCCTTCAACTCACCCCAAACCGCAAGTTTGCCGATAATACTTGACCACCTGGATTCTAACTATCGTTTCTGCGCAAAAGTGAGTCTTTGCTTCTGGGGCTTCCCTCGCACCTTCAACTAACTGACCCCATGAGCCGATCAGCCAATCATCCGGATTTCCTCTCAGCATACAAAGGGAACAGACGGTTTTGCTAGGAAAAACCGAAAAATTTGACCCCCTGTTTTAAAACATGACTCACAAAAATAGGCCCTCCCCTCACAACCGCTCATGGTCCCGGTCCCACATCTCACAGCAGAACAAAGAAAAGCATCATTTCCGCAGCGCACATAAGACTCCATGTGGGGAGGTCTGTGTGGTGGGGGAGGGGGGAGGCCTAAACACATCTCATTTTGGCGCATCTCATTTTGTGCGGTTTGCTGACATCTAATCTCCTTCTGGGGATGGCCATATCGCCATTTTGGGGCTTGGTCTTAGCCAGACTTTTCCACTTTGAGGATGTGCCAGACCACATCTGCTCGTGTCGCCGTCTCGTTCGGGGGTTGGCACGCCACATCTTTGTCTATGCATGCCTACAAGTAGCACTGGTCGCATTTACAATTCAGAAATTCACGACAGACTGCCACGAAAACATCTCATTCAAAGCCACTCCCCCAATCGATATGTCTGGACACCTTGGGAACACCTGAGAGTGCACGACTTGCCGCCCCGCCTTGTTGTGGCGAACAAGAGACACTGAGGGCTCTGCAATGACGCCAACTCGCTTGACCTCAAACACCATTTTTTTCACAAACTGCTACATCTGTTTTTTACAAGGTGCAGCTCATGGACATGTATGGGTCCTACATGACCCTAGTATACCCTAGTGCATCAAGTGGTGCAAGACCTACCGTCACAAACGCCGTTGGCATCCTTGGGAGTAGAGCAAGAGGGCATGAGGGCCATGAGGGCATGAGCTCTACGCAGCAAAAAGAGCAAAAAGAGCAAAAAGACTTCAAGCCTTCGATAAGATAAACAAACTTGCCAAGTTTCGCAAAGGTCGCCGAATGATCTGCTCATGGCCAAACCATATGACCGTCCGCCGTACACGCGGGACATGACAGTATTCCGGCAGCGCCTGCCCAGGCACCCAACTATGAACATCAACACATGACTCCGGGAAGTGATGGATCTCTCCTGTGGATGTGGTGGTATGGCTGGTGGCATGGATGTGACATGATGTGACCATAGATAGCGAATGCACTGCGGCTGGTCATATATATTTATATATAAGTCAAATAGAGGTGTGATTGTCAATTTGTGCGCATCGCGGAAACGACGGTATGTTTGGAATTCTTCAAGAGCAAGCTGAGTCTAATACTGTGCTCGCAAAATGGAATCACGGGCTCCAGCATTGCCCACAGGTTGCTTTTCTCAGCAAAGGAAGGCGCATCCGAGCTCTGGCCAGGTGATTGTTTGTTCAGATCATGCGCATCGGCAACCCTCTTGGAAGGTTATTGCCTCAAACGCCCTGCCTCAACCCCGCAGAGTGTAATTGATCTGTCAAGAAACCTTCGAAAGATGACAATAATGGAATGGGCAGGAGGCCAGGGATCAGCATAGCACAAAGGTTCAGTACGAAATTAGGAGATGTTTCGGGGCCGTACCTTTAGAACCTTCCGGACTGGACAGAACCACCAGGGCAAACACGACACCTTTAAACTGGAACGCATTCATGCGGGTTCTAAAGCCTCCTGAGGCTTCCTACCTGATCTACATAGCATGTATGTGTCCAAGCTGAGCTCGGCGCGGACGCTCGACCTTGATTGACCCGCCAGCCGCCACGATTCCTTAGATACGCTGTGAAAAACATAACCCCCCGCCCACTGTCAACAAGCTCGGATTCTTGCGAGCTGCGTTGCTGCTCTTTTGTGTCGTGCGCCTTGTGCTGGCGGCTGGCAGTTATGCCTCCCCCCGCCTGAGTGACAACAGATGTTCTTGTTGCAAGTGTACTTCCAGCGAAAAGAAAAGTCTTGTGTTTCGAGTCTTCATCTCAGCTCGCATGCTGTAAGTTGTGTTTTGCCCACTTGTGTTGAGCGACTGTCAAACTAAGTGATGGACGTCGACAATCAATGCTTGGCTGTCGCCACACGATGCGAGGAATGTACCCTTCCCAGGGTTTTGCCAGCAAGCTGCGAAAACAAGCTGCTGTGCAACTCCCCTGCCTCCTCCGTTACCGTTACCGTGGCAACGGAAGCTCCTGAATGAGGAGTTAGCGATGGCCATTTCCATTTTCTCACCGCACCCCCTAGGACAGCTCATAGACTTGTAGACACCAACCCCAGACCCTGCATGACCCGGTACACACTCAACAGTACACTGGCTCCACTCTCCTTTCCCTCCAGCATCCAAAGCACCAGCCGAAGGGTTTCGGTGACGAGGTAGGGCTGGATTTAACATTTCGCACGGAGCGGGTAGATAAATGAGAGTTCGCCCAACTCAAAGACCCAATAAACGAGGGAACTAATTACTGCACAGGATCAGCAGGATGCTGGAGTACGGAAATCGCGGCGACAAAGTGCAGGATCGTGTAAAACCAGAAAAAAAAGATCCCTATCGTCTCATCTGCACTCTGTGCGCAGCTACAGAGGAGTCACCAAGTGATGGCCACTCAAGGCTCAAACAAGGCAACCTCAGAGGCTTGTCCGCAGAAGCACACACCACAAGTGAAAGTCGGATCGCCGGGCACAGAAACAAGAAAACAGGCACGAAGAACCTAACCCGGAAAGGGCTCGCGTGCAAACAAATCGACCTTTCGACCCCAGGGGGCACACAGGTAGCCGAAAAGAAGATGGGCTGCCTAAACCCGAAGGGGCTCGGGTAGCATCATCGGCTTGTGCGAAGCATGGAAGCAACACGGCACAACCACACGGGCTAACCACCCGAAACAGAGAATGGGCTACCTAAACCGAAAAGGGTTCGGGCGCAGGCAGCAGTGTGGCAGCAGGTCTTTCGACCCAAGAGGGCACACGACAAGAGAGCCGGCTACCTAAACCGAAGGGCTCAGACGCGCTACACAAAAAGGTGCAGGGACAAAGGGGCTCCCCCTTCGACGAAGGCGTTGCGCACCTGTCAGGCGTGGAGCAGAAATCAAAGGTGAGGGCACTCACTGATTCTCGGTTTCAAATCAAAGGCAACGAAAACCGCTGCAAAAGGACCCATTCCGGGCCACGCCTATCGTGGGCAAGGGCCGAAAAGGATTGGACCGCAAAACCATTGCTTTGAACAGAAGACGAAGGGGCAAGAGCTCAAAGTGGGCGCGCCACCTCTCACGACACAAATAGTTGAGCAGCAATCAGCCGCAAACTCTTTGTTTGCACCGGTTTAAACGGTGCGGAGATCGTGTTGTGAGCAGCAAGGGCAATCTCAAGGGTCTGGGGTCGGGTCTATCACGTTCAAGGTGGGGGTGGGGGGTGGCCCGCATGTCGAGCGGCGGAGAGAGAAAAATGGAAACCGCCATCGCTAACGCAAAACTAAAAATGGTGCCACATGGTTACACACCGGTCACATAGCGAGCTTGGCTGGTGGCTCCCCAGCTTCTCCTGACGTAACCAAATCGAAGCCTTTTTGTGCTGCAGCCGCTTCCAAATCTTCCTGCAAGAACTCTCTCCAAGTTCCGTTTGCGAGGAGTTGACGGCATCTTTCAACCTAAGGATATGAAACACACCCGCGCCTCGGCTGCAGCGTAGGCGTTCTTGATTGAATCGGCAACAGGCTTGGTCTGGACAGCCTCGAGTTTGGCAGTATGAAGTCGATCTCGACAACATAAAGTCTCTGAACGGCCTTCTCCAGGAGGTCTGGCAAGATGGCACAAAGGTGTGCAGCCACTATGTGGCCACATCTTCCATGCCCATCTGCAAGCACCAAAGACCAGTGGCCTTGTGGGGCGCGTGAAGAGACCGAAAAGCAGTGCGACCATCAAGCCGCAGCAAGCTCAACCGTTTGGTTGCCGAATCCCGTACCCCGGCCTTGAGTATCACATCGCGCGGCCACACAATCTGCGAATGGGGCGAGGAATTGCCGAAAGGAATTCCACGCGCGATTCCCGTCCCGGCAAATTCGCAGATCTTCGCAGTTTCCCAACAACCGTGGCCTTAATGGTTTCAAGGGTTCATGGTTCAATGGTTTAATGTGTTAATGGTTTAATCCTTCAACGGTTTAATGATTTAATGGTTTGATGGGTTTCTTGGTTTATTGGTTTATTGGTTTATTGGTCTATTGGTCTATTGGCTTATTGGCTTATTGGCTTATTGGTTTATTGGTTTATTGGTTTATTGGTTATTGTTTTATTGGTTATTGTTTTATTGGTTTATTGGTTTATTGGTTTATTGGTCTATTGGCTTATTGGTTTATTGGTCTATTGGCTTATTGGTTATTGGTTAATTGGTTAATTGGTTAATTGGTTAATTGGTTAATTGGTTAATTGGTTTATTGGTTAATTGGTTTATTGGTTTATTGGTTTATTGGTTTATTGGTTTATTGGTTTATTGGTTTATTGGTTTATTGGTTTATTGGTTTATTGGTGTATTGGTTTATTGGTTTATTGGCTTATTGGTTTATTGGTTTATTGGTTTATTGGCTTATTGGCTTATTGGCTTATTGGCTTATTGGCTTATTGGCTTATTGGCTTATTGGCTTATTGGCTTATTGGCTTATTGGCTTATTGGCTTATTGGCTTATTGGCTTATTGGCTTATTGGCTTATTGGTTTATTGGTTTATTGGTTTATTGGTTTATTGGTTTATTGGTTTATTGGTTTATTGGTTTATTGGTTTATTGGTTTATTGGTTTATTGGTTTATTGGTTTATTGGTTTATTGGTTTATTGGTTTATTGGTTTATTGGTTTATTGGTTAAATGGCTTATTTTCATAGGTGGAAACATAGGTTCAATGGTTGAATGGTTTCATGGGTTGCGGCACTCTCATAGGGCAAAGCTATTGGTTTTTATGGTTTAACGGTTTAATGGTTTTATAGTACTCCCACAAGGTGGAAACGACTGGTGGAAACGACTGATTGATTGGTTCAATGAGTGCTTGGGTGTCATGCAATCTCTGCCCAGGTATCTCACCTGCACCGCTGGTGCCATCGAATAAATTATCTCATACCTGCCATACCTTATTCTAATATTGGATTTACACATGTACTGCCTGCCCTGACTAAACAATAGGTATCACGCCTCGGCTGCGGCGTTGGAACAAAGGTGCACATGCATGGTTTGAATCAATGTCTGTGTGGTAGTTTTAGGAGACGGCGCCCGTACGGGGCCGTGCGTTTGAGCGCTTTTCCTCGGGTTCGGGGGTGGGGGGGGGGGTTGGGGGAGGGGGGTGATTACGTCCGTTGGGCCAGATACATGCAACAACCGACTCCCCAGCCTCGACTTTTAGAATAACACAATTGATTTTGCGCATTCCCCTGAGTTTGAACTCGTAAATCATCTGTTTAATTTTGTTAGAGGTCAGCTAGTTCAGATGCGTATACGACTATCCGGTCGATTCATTGCAAACTCAAATCAACATTTCAAGGGCCTTTCATCAGATCATGGGTTTACGCGCTAACACTTAAACGGTCGGCAATGAAGGAACTCCACGCCAAGCTAAGCGGGCAAATGCTTCGAAAAGTTCGGATAGTTTGATTGAAGATAGTTGGAGGTCAAATATGACTTACATACATATTGCTTGAATGGCCAGGAAGATTGGAAGACAAGGAGAGACAGCTACTGGAACAACCCATGTCCCAAATGACTGCGAAAATCTCGGCCAGCTTTTTTCTGTGCCTAGGGCTAGCTGTATTTAACAATCATCATCGGGCGCTAGATATATATTGTAACAAGGGGCTACCTATATCCATGTAACTGCGATAACAACGACAAGACTGTTTCCGTCGCCATAATGCAGAAGCTTGTATAGTCTTATTTCACTGATCTGGCTATAAGCTTTGAGATTTGCCCTTGACAGAAACTCGCGATATTCGCAGCGACCGTGGTCCCAAAAAAGCAGCTCCAGAGCGAAGTGCAAACACAAACAAGTCAACGAACAAGAATATGTTCCCTGCCATCCGAGGTACCCATATTCTGATCGACTTTACCAAGCCCTCCTAATGCTTCTAGGGTTTTGTCTGCAAACAATGTGTGAAATATAGATAAAACATAGAATCCATACATATATATATATATATGTCTGAATGTTCAAAAAAATATGTATATATATATATATATATATGAGCTCGCAACCTTTACGGTCCATTTTAAAATGGCGCGGAACCAAAACCTCAAAGAAATCTGTTTATCGCACACACGCACATAGTTTTTGGAAGTTGAAAATTCATGATTTCTTTCTTCTTAACAAACTAAACTTAGGGACATGGCGCTTGTCATTTCATTCATGAAAGTTCGGGACGCGGTGCTTGCGATCTTTTTCTGGAGAAGGAAACCTAAACAACTTAGAGGCGCGGTGCTTGCGATTGTTGTTGGAGAGAGAGAGAGAGAGAGAGAGAGATAGAGAGAGATAGATAGATCTTAAAAGCTTGTGATTTCCTTGCTTGGGCAAAATTTTGCTCACAGTCTTAGGGGCGCGGCGCTTGCGATTTGATATCCTTGGAAGAGAACTTCTCCTAAAAAACTTAGGGACGCGGTGCTGGCGATTTGCTATTGTGGAAGAGAAATTGAAAAAGACTTGAGGACACGGTGCTTGCGCTTTCCTGTTTTGGGAATATTTTCGAACAACATTGGGGAAGCGCCGTTTGCGGTTGTTATCTTGGGAAAAAGACATCCTTCACAAAACTTAAGGGCTTGCAACTTGTTGTTTTAGAAAACAAAAAAGGCTCTAAGAACAACTCAGGGATGCAGTGCTTGCGCTTTCCTTGTTTTCGAAAAATGTTGCTCACAATCTTTGGGGGGTGCAGTGCTTGCGAATGGAAATTCTGGAGAACAAACAACTTAGGGACGCGGTGCTTGCGATTTTTTGCTTGGGAGAACTGTTTAAAAGAGCCTAGGGCGCGTCGCTTGCGGTTTTTTGGGAATTTCAGGTTTAGTGTTCTCATGCAATTAAACACATTTCCATATGCAGAGACACCTCGTCCAACTCTGATCCAAAGGCCAACCTGAACTTCTAAATTTTCAACCAGGGGAGGAACAGGGCACAGGGGGTGGTGGGCAGGGGGTCAGGGTAGAGGGGTATATAGATCATGAGAGGGGAGGGCAGGGAGGCGAGGGCGGGGAGCAGGGGGAGGGCGGGGGGTGAGGGGGGAGGGGGGGGAAGGGGGGCAATTTTTTTCCGAAATCAACATCTGTCTTTTTTTAATTTTTTTTGTCCGAAAATCCCTTTGAATAGTTAAAATACTTCGAGTGGGCCATCTTCATGAATCATTTAAACCCAAACATCCCTGTGAAGGATTTAAAACTCAAGTTTAGTAGTTTAAATATTCATTTACATGAATCTAAATACGGTAAAATCCGGAAGAAGGCCAGTTGAACTAGTTGAATCCGAAAACTTCCTTTTACCGATTTAAACATTTTACAAAGTTCAATGAACCAGTCGATTTAAACTGTGCAAGTTTTTTGAATCCGAAAGTCCATTTTCCCGACCTAACTATTTACAGCATTCAATCGGCCTTAAGTCCGAGAGTTTACGCTTATTTTAATGCAAATACTTAAAACAGTTTACACAATGTAAATGATTCAATTGGGGCCCGCTAAGTATTTAAAATGTTTGACAACCCTTTCAGCGTTCTGAGTAACTTAAACAGTTCAAATCAGCCGATTGCAACTATTTCAAACATCTGAATCAGAACATCCGTTTTTCCGATTTACATCATGCAAATAATTCAATATGGCCCATAATAAGGCCTTTAAAGAAATATTGAATACTGAAAGTATTTAAACTATTCAAATTGCTTAACGTACTTGATATTATTAACCGCATCTTCGCGGACCATGTACATTGAGCCAATTCATCTAGCTCGACAGCAACAATCAATGGAAGCAGCATGATTGGAGACTGGCCTTGATTTATGTTGCCCCGTCTTCGCTTCAAACCTTGCGTGGTCACGACACGTTTGCAAGAAGATGTGAGAGAAGTGTCGTTTTATCTGCCTGCCTGTGGCTGAAACCACCTGCACAAACGTGTCTGCAGGCTTCTCGCCAGACACTGCAACCTCAGCCGGCTCAAACCTTAGCACTCATTCCAAACAAAGCGAGTACATCCTCGTTGTTCCTCTTCCAGAAAAGGAGCAGATACAGCAACTACAATAAAAAAGTCCTAGCTTTCGGGGCAAAAAGCACAGACGTGTGCGAATGGCTCAGTACGTGCATGAATAAACATCAACCCAATACAGGACCAAACCATATGGCAAGTGAGGACTGCGAACAAAAACAACCTGAGTACAACCGTCGACTCTGTCAAGCCTTTGAAGTGCTGACAGTGACGGATCCGTCTCCAGACCACAGTTCGTCTCGATTCGAAATGCCTGGTGGCACAGTCGCTCCTTTCAACTTCAACCAGTCGACAATCGGCTTTCAATCGGCTTTCAATGCACGTAAGTTGCACAAACAATGGCCATCAACAGCGCAAAGACCCAAGAATCTCCAAACCGACATGCAACCATGCGCATTCTGCGTGTCCCCCAGCACTGCAACTTTTTCACCATTGACCGTTTCTCCACCACCCTTCACTCCTTTCTCATCCACCTCCTGCATCCTCCTCTTATCCTAATCTTGCGTCACTTTGAGGGATACTCTGATGGAGACAGTGGAAGAGTAGAGTGGAGGTCCGGGTCCTGGCCCCGCTGAGCTTCGCAGAGTCTATGCAAACATTCAAAGTTTTTTTTTGTGCTCGGCGTGGGTCTTGTGTGAATCATGCGACAGGGGAAGAATGTGAAAGAGAATGCTTCATCTTCTGCGAAACTGACCATGTCTGCATCTACTCCGAATGGAAGGACCACAGGAACATGCTTTTTCAAAACAGCACAAAGCAAGCTAGATGGACACTGACTTGCATTCAACCAAGGCTCGGGATAAGCTCGCATGCGGGTTTGAACTACTTTCGACCGAGATAATGCCATGGTTGCCAGAACTTGGATGCCGAACAAGAGAAGCCCATGTAGCCATGAAGCTGCCACCTACCCCCTGCCCGACTCACTGCACTGTTGTACTGCAAGATGTCGTAAGCCAAGTTTCGACAGTTTCTGCATGTCACATATCCCACGGCAGTATCTGTCGCTCGGCTGCAGCGAAGCCTGTTCAAACGGAGGAGTGGAACTCTGACGTCAACGTACATTAGCTAAACGTGAATACGACTCTGGACCTTCTTTGCTGCTGCTGTGCAGCAGGCCAGACAGCAGGCACTGACCGGGCGGGCCATGGCTGCAGGGAAAGCATTAGATGAACTACAAGGAGGTGGCATCTGGTGCTACAGTGTGCAAAGCCTCAAAGCTTTCTACCCTACGTTTCGTGCACTGGTGGTGATACTGTGTTGTGACAGAGTCTCTGGCTGCCCTCCACACCTGCATGACAACTGCTTTCAAGTCGTCGTAACTTCGTGCACGGGGGCTCTCTATCAGTGCGGCGCAGAGTGCGAGGAATAGGCATTTGCGAAGGCAACCAAGACATGCCAGCCACCCGACTGCCAAGTGTTCATGGTCTTTTGGCGCGCATGTCGGTGGTCCGAGATGCAGCTGATAGCTCACATTGACAATGGCACTCGTCAAACATCCTGACCATTGCATGGTTTCCAAAATAACTTCTATTCCAGGCACTACGACACCAACTCCACGTCCTCGTGTCAAACTGTGTTTGCATGTGAATGACCTCCTTTTGTGGCTCAAAGGTCCTCCATTGGACGATCTTCGTCTTGCTTCCGCCGCCTCCAATCCAGTGGTGTGCAAGAACAAGAAACACACTGAAAATACTTATAATACTTACACTTAAATGCATCGAGACATGCAACACGTGTCACAAGCAGAGGGCTGACATGGAATCTCCGCACAAGAGTGCGCTTGTATCCCCTTTCCAAGACCTTAGCTTGGATGGCTTTGCCACCGCACCCCTTTCCCAAGGCCAGCCCCAGCGGCCAGGAGACAGGCGAAGAGCATGCACAGGCCGGCACCCTGCCGGCCTGCGTGCCTACATCGGCAATGAGAGCTGCGGACGCGCCCGTCCCACCCGAGCCTCTGAGCAACCAGGCTCGGGGAACCCACCTCAAGCACACCCAGCACTTTCCAACGTCCAGCCCCAAACCCAAAGCCACCACGCTTCCCCCCGAAAAAAACCCTGGGAGGACGTGATATACTGGAAGCCTGCCAGCGGCCCGCAAGAACCTGACGCGCCCAGCAGCCTGCCATAGACTGCCCTCCACGCATGCTACGCCGGGGAAGGGGGGTGGCCCTGAGAAGACAAACACTCAGACGAGGCTCAGATCTGGAGATATCTGGAGCCTTTGATCGCAGAGAATTCACAGAAGGTATCCCAACAGGCTTAAAAGCAAAACTCCACAAAGAGGCTGAGGATCCCAGTGAGCAGGATAACCGCATAAGGCCACATAACCGTAAACCCTAACAACAAAATGCCTGACCGCGAGCTGGTGGAGGACCTCCAGAACAGCTTGAGCGGCGGCGCACGCATGATCGTTCCTCCACTCGACGTGGACAGTGGAAGAACCTAGTTCAGAGAAGGCCCCCTAGGTCTTGAAGAGAGTCTGAAAGCGCTGGTGTGGTACGCACAGTGGGGATGAGGCACGGTCGCGGCATATTGCGTGAGCTCTGGTATGTGCTCCTGTGGGAGGTTGGCATGCCTTGCTCTGGCTGCCGTAGGGCTGTGACGTGGAGTGTGGCAGAAACGGCTGACGCTTCTGAACGGCTTCTGACCTCGGAATACACTGGCAACATCTTAGTAAACTAGAAACATCTCGTCGTGCGCGCGCTTTGATGGTGGGGGGTTAGACGCGGTTAGACATGGTGGGCCATGGTGTGAGACAGTGTCGGCACAGGGTTTCTTTGTTGCAGCTCATACTTCGCCGCGGCCGTTGTGAGACTTGATTTCCAGCCCCGGATGGGTTCATGGCCATTTCGTTCATGTTTTTGGGCGACTCTCCCGGCCCGTTTCAGTTTTCCTTTCTCAAACAGTTTCGCCACACCAACTCCTGTTGCCATGCAGTTGTGGATGCGATGTGATGTCCCGAGATGCAAACTTCTTGAGGCTGGATCAATCGGATCAAGCCTTGGCAGACCTCGCCCCACATGCCCACACCCCAAAAAGATCCTGCCCAAAGGCCAGGCCTTCTGTCAACATGTTTTCCTCAAACGCCGCTCCACCCTCAAACAAAAACATCACCTCACAAATCATCAGCATGACACTTCACCACATGTAAAGTCCTGTAAAGGACAGTGAGAGACAAAATGCTGGTCAAGGTCTCTAACCCTCAGCCACGCGCATTAAGAATGCGGGGAGTTAATCGCAGTCACATGGGGCATTGTGGGAACTTGGATGTGCCAGCCTCCTCATCTCACCGCCCTCAGTCTCGGCGCGTTCTGATCGCGAGGTTGAACCCAGCACTTTCGATTCCACCTGGCTGCAAAAGTCTCAGACGTTGTAAGATTGTAAGGCTGACAAATTGGCTGCACCTGATCGCTAATTTCGTTGATCTTCGTATCAACCTTGAGAACGATAGACCGGAGGATGCTATTTCCGGTGAACCTTCCCAGAGACGGCTGACAGGTAAGAGTTTTATGGAATTCCATGGAGTTCCACGCACCATGTTGTTTCAAGCTCTCAAAACAAAACCTGACCACAGCGCCTATAGTTCAGGAAGTCGAGGAAGAACATGATCTCGACAAGCCCGCCAATCCAAGACTGAATGTCCGAGTAGCGCGGCATGTTGATCTGCCAGCCAGAGCTGCTGCTGGCAATGAGTTACCACGTTGACAGCAATCCAGCCGATGCCTTCTTGTAGATCCAGTTCAGAGCGTAGAACACGCGGTACCCCCCGAGCATGACAACGTACAGGCTTGTACCCCTCAGATCAGCAACCGCATCCCTCAAAATAGTTCGACTGTCCACGAGCGTGCTGAGAACGAAACACATCCTTGTTGATCCGTTCCCGATAGCAGAATATATATTGTGGGACCTTGGACAGCGGTCACAACATCGACGGCATCGCCAACAGCAATGCACAACCAGATGACGACACAGCAAAAAGGGCAGCAACGCTCGCAACAACAGCAACAGAACAGCTAGAACGAAGTTGCCACGACCAACGACGACCGCAACCACAACCAAAGAAGCCCTTGAAAGGCATGAGTATATAGAATTTGTTAAAAGGCCTTGCAGGCCCCTGCGGGCCATTTTGCTGTGCCCCAAAAAACTCATCCTCGAACTCCCAACGCCAAATGTCAGGCCCACCCCTGGCCCACATGACTCTTGGCTTGCCCACCCTCAGATGATCTTGGAAACCGCGGCAAACTCCCAAGAGGAACTACGGCATTTTTCGGAAAGACATGATGGGGCACTGAAGAGACAGAGAAGAGACAGGGGAGCCAAAGTGGCAGAGGCAAAGGAAGCAACTAACGGCATTCGCGCAGATTGCGTGGGGAATTGTGGGGAAAGACCAACCCTTACCCCGAAACACCTGAAGCTACGAGAATGAAGTCTGCAAAAATGCGGACATGTGAAGAAAAAAAATCGGAAAGACGCGAAGAAATAGGTCTTGGAACAACGCCGCTATCAACCCGCCCCTCACCCCATAAGACATGCAAGGCCCTCATAGGACATTCAAGGCCGAAAACAGACATGCCAACAGTGCAAAGAGCAAGAAGTTCAAAGGTGACATCCCCCTACTTTGCTGCTGATCTATTGAAAACCCTAGGCTGGATGTAGAAACTACCCTTCTCCGTCCTTTTGTCTGGAGGCAAATACTGTTTACAGTCACGTTGTTCCCTGTTGTTGTTGCTGCATCCCAGACAACTGTGCAACACATCACCAAATGGGAAGTAGCCACATAGCAATTCTTAGCTTAACAAATTTAACAAATCTTCTGTCGTCGGGAAAAATAATCCCAGTGTTGAGCGACACCTGGGGATACTGCGAGCCACCGGTTCTTCAGGTTGACATTCCAGGACCAGATACAATTGAGTATGAGATATATTAGCTTATCCGCCGAGGCGTGGTAGCACAAAGCAGGCACCCACCTCCAATCCCCTCCCATTATTTTTCACTTTTTTGGCTGGAATGCGTACCCCCCCTAGCCAACAGCTGTGCGGAAGGACGTCGAAGGGCCAGGGGGCATTTGGGCCTGACCATAAAGGGCAACCCTCCAGGGCATCTTGGCCACCCTCCCCCCTTTACTCCTCCCTGCCCGTCCCCCCCCCTTCCCCCACCTCTCCACCACTCCCGTTTCACAACAGCGTCCAAAAAGAGAACGATTGCACGAAACCTCTCAAAGCGCGCAAGCCTCGTGCTGGGCAAGCACCGGCCCAGACGAGTCACGTAGCGTGAAAACTATATTCATGTCAGAAGTATATGAATTATATGAATTATGTGAGTTATATGAATTGTATGATTATAGGAATTATATGAATAATATGAACTATATGAGTTATATGAATAATATGAACTATATGAGTTATATGAATTCTATGAATTCTATGAATTCTATGAATTCTATGAATTTTATGAATTCTATGAATTCTATGAATTCTATGAATTCTATGAATTCTATGAATTCTATGAATTGTATGAATTCTATGAATTCTATGAATTCAGTAGTAGTAGTAGTAGTAGTAGTAGTAGTAGCAGTAGTAGTAGTAGTAGTAGTAGTACTACCCCGTGTGTTGGTAGGAGGCCCTGGTGCTTTGTGGTGGGTGGGTGGGGGGGGGGACGGGGGGGGGGGAGAGGGGGAACAAGAAAATCTATCACAAGCGTTCATGCCTTTCGCGACCATATCCAAAACACTGGTATGTACTGCGCTTTATGCCCAAAACACTGGTATTTACGGCGTTTTCGCCTCGTTGTACAACATACTGCACAAGGATGTGGAACAGGAAAATCTGTCACTAGCGTCCGTGCTTTTCGCGACCATGCCCAAGACACTGCGATTTACAGCGTTTTATGCCCCAAACACTCGTACTTACAGCGTTGTCGCTTGTTTGTGCAACATACTGCACAAGGATGTGGAGCAAGAAAACCCCGAGTCTTGAATCCTAATCACACCACAAATCCATGACCCCCAAAGTCGTTCGGCCGCGCATCTGCGATGTCTCTCTTAAAGATGGGAAAAGCACGAAACACCGAGAGGGTGCTCACTTTTCGACTAGGACAACAAGCGAATGTACTAAAAGTACCCAGGTCTTCCTACAACGCGCATCCTAGTAGTCGTAGTAGTAGTAGTAGTAGTAGTAGCAGCAGTAGTAGCAGTAGTAGCAGTAGTAGCAGTAGTAGTAGTAGTAGTACTAGTACTAGTACTAGTACTAGTAGTAGTAGTAGTAGTAGTAGTAGTAGTAGTAGTAGTAGTAGTAGTAGTAGTAGTAGTAGCAGTAGCAGTAATAAAAGTAGTAGTAATAGTAGTAGAAGTAGTAGTAGTAGTAGTAGTAGTAGTAGTAGTAGTAATAGTAGTAGTAGTAGTAGTAGTAGTAGTAGTAGTAGTAGTAGTAGTAGTAGTAGTGGTAGTCGTAGTCGTTGTAGTAGTAGTAGTAGTAGTAGTAGCAGTAGTAGTAGTAGAAGCACCACGGCTCGATTTTGTTTGGCACGCTGGGTAGCTGCAGTTCCTCCATCCGGAGAAGATATCTGGGCTGACCCAGCTATGCACATCATGCGGCCATGGTTTCTTTGCTACCTTTTGATGCTTGGAATGTGTGGCGCGATGGAAAACGATGATCCATCACCGCCACCACCACGGAAACAACCGAGGCGTGAACTCGGGCCCTCTCCGCCCATCCGATATCAAGGACGCAATCTGCCCACTAATCTTGAAGTTGATCTTGTGGAGACTGTTGGTCCTGACCTTCAGCCGGATGTTAGGGTGAGAGTCCACATCTCCCCTGAGGCAGTGAGGGTGAGAGAAGTATCGGTGTTCGTGATCCCCACCAGACCTGCTTGGATGCAAGCCGCAGAAGGTGAGCACACCGCATCGTCCTCCTCGGGAGCCAATCCTGGCCCTGTGCATGGACGCTCAGGAGTGCCACAAGTGGAGGCCCCCTCGGCCCCAAACGCAGCTGCACCCTCTCACTTGCACCAACCCGAATCTGCCCCCGCCATGCACCCAGCTACAGGCATGGGTCTATGTGTGAATATGCAAGGTGGCCTCGGCAGAGGTTACGGTCATGCAGCAGGTCAAGTAGGAGCACCAGGCCATGAGTTTCAGCTTGAAGTGGCCACGACCCACACGGCCCCAAGCACGATAAGAGCGTCGCACATCCTCAGATGCGTCTGCAACACACGCTCACTTGCGCCTGGCACTTTGCAGTGTTGCATGGTGTTGCCGTCTGCACTCTGCTGGGGAATTATCCCAGTGACTCGCAAACCTTGCAGGACCCGCCGATGGAGCTTTCGACATCAACACGCACAGGCCTTGCCGCACAGGTGCACCCTAGGTTCAGCCCATTCACTGCCACCGCCTAAGAAAGCACCAGTACGCACTTGCCAAATGCGTGAGCAGGTACTATGCCCCTATCGGACCGTGAATCGATGGCGGAAGTGCACCGCCAACGCTCTCAGATCAGTGTTACGCCCTTTCTCCACTCCTGCGAGCCCTGTCCTCGACCAAACTGCGCGAGGAACTCAGCGTGCTCGAGGACACCGATGCATTGCCAGTAACCAAGTCCCCTCGGAAAGCATCACTAAATTAGTTAATCTCAAAGGTAGACATGAAACCTTGACCCGTAAACACTATCCCGTAACCACTAAGAGCCGACCCGGTCCCAAGTCCGGGACACACAGATTTCTGCACGTTTGCCTATGAATGACAATGTTACAATTTGTGCGCGGCGCGAGGGTTCCGGTCCTATCCGCAGATAGGACAGCCTATAATGCGCTGAAGCAATGCGGAACACAGCACATTCAGAGTCAGGAGTCAGCCCTTCTCTATTCAAGAGTAGCCAAGCGCTCATACAACAGAGCCTGCCTTCGAGCCTCGCGCTGGGGCAGCACTATGTATAAAGGCAGAGTCATGCACTCAGGTGATGACATCAGTGGGAGCCGACAGGCGGCCCCAACGTCAATCAGAAAGAGGACAAATCAGGCGGCCGCACCCAGCCATTGCCTCAGGGTATTCAGCTATAATGCCGGAGGCTTAGGCTCAGGCATGTACGAGGAGTTAATGCATTATCTTGATACCGCTGCATACGACATTGTACTCACCCAAGAAACAAAAATGAGTACTGACACCGAATATTGCACCGATAAATGGATATGCATTGGCTCAGGCACGGCGCAGCAAAAACACGCGGGAGTCACGGTGCTCATCAGCAAAGCCATCACACACGAGGCTGAGGTTAAACATGACACCATTGTGCCGGGACGCCTCATTAGAGTTAGGTTTCCAGTCGGCAAGCTCAATAACGTGGTCAGCGTGCTCAGTGCCTATCTACATGCCTGGAACCCTAAGGATCCCCAGATCCTCAATAAGAGACTCGACTACTGGCAGTGCTTGAACGGCATTCCTCGTAGAGAACATCTTGTGATTGGGGGTGATCTCAATGTGCAAGTTCGTCCACGTCCGCCACACATCGGCCCAGGTACCGGACTTTGCTCTGCTGACAGAGCCACAGATGAGGATGAGGTCGTGAACCTACTTGATGCACACTCGCTTATCATGCTCAACACATGGTCAAAACCAGGACACACGGCACACACCTTCAAGTTTGGCACACACTCAGCGCAACTTGACTACATCATTGTGCGCCGCAGTGATCGGAAAGGGTGGCCAAACGAGCAGGCCCCTTGCTGCAATGCCCTGTTGGGGCCTGGCGCAGGCTTAGCGGCTATCACATCCCTGTCACCGCCCTCTTACCTATCCGTAGATTTGAATGGCGGAAACCGCCCGCTAGCCAGCCAAACATTGAGCGCGAAAGCATTGTGGAGCAAGCCAAGGTGACTGAATGGAAAGGGATACCCGAGGGAAGAATCACCAAG